GCGATGTTTTCTTTCAACTTTGCCATTTTGCTGATGAGAATAGGGGCAGGTGAGTCTGTGAGTGATGCCATGCATGTTGAGAAAATGGTTAAACTGAGATGAATTGAATTCCTTGGCATTGTCTGTTTGCACAGATTTAATTGTGAAACCAGTGAGGTTTTCAATAGTTGTCTTGTATTGTATAAAGGTTTGATAAACTTGAGATTTGTTGCGCAGAAAAAATAGATAACTAAAACGAGTAAAGGTATCAACAAATAACACATAATAAAATGATCCTGAATTACCAGGAATAGGTGCAGGACCCCAAACATCAATCAGAACCAATTCAAGAGGAGAGGTATATTGAGTATTTGAATCAAAGTGAGGTAATTGGTGAATTTTTCCTAGACAGCAGGCTTCACAAACAGATGAAGCAGAAAAACGTTTATTCATATGAAAAGGAATATTACAATGTTGTAAGACAGTTCTAACAATAGGTGGAGCAGCATGTCCTAGACGTTTATGCCAAACATCAAAAGAAGCAAGTTTAGAATAAAGTGCAGTGGGAGATGTGAGTGATGTAGGGTGTGAATGCTCATAAGAGTTGGTGAACTGATAGAGTCCATCTCTAAGATTGCCCTTGAGAACAATTTCCTTGGTAACCTGAGATTTGACAAGACAATAATTAGGATAGAACTCAAAATAAACATCATTGTCCTTGGCAAATTGGGATACACTAATCAGATTTTTAGTAATGTGAGGAACATGCAGTAAATTGTTAAGTTTAAAAATTGTAGATGAATGGGAGGTGCATAAGGTGGAGTTACCAAAGTGTTGAATAGACATACCTGCACCATTACCAACATGTACCTTATCGGATCCATTATATTCAGAACAGGTAGTGAGATTGTTAATATCATTGGTGAGGTGATGAGTTGTACCAGAATCAGGATACCAGGAATTGTCAACAAGGGAGGCAGGACCAGCTAAGTAAGCTGTTGGATTATGAAAAGTGGGTGGTGGTGGTGGTGGTGTTCTCTGATTCATAGGAACTGTAGGTGTGTTTTGTGGAGAAGAATCATAGCGATAAAAACATCTAGAAGCAGGGTGGCCATTTCTGCCACATATTTGACATTGAAGTCGATTTTGATTCCAAGAGGGGTTGGAATATCTGCCTCCTCTGAAATTTCTGTAACCTCTGCCTCTTCGAGCACCAAAATTACGATTACCAGCAGGTTCTGATGGCTGATTTTGTGTATTGAAAATAGCTGCAGGGTCTTGAGATGGATTTCTTTGATTGAAATTGGCTTGAATGGGGGGAGTTCTGTTTTCTTGAAGCGATCAAGCATGTCTTCTTGTGCCAGTAGAAAGGCTTCTAATTCAATGATAGAGAATGGAGGAGATCTGGACATTGCAGATGTAATGAGGGGAGCATATTCTTCTCCCAATCCATCAAGAATTGCTTCATTGTATTCATTATCAGTAAGAGGTGCACCAACAGCTCCTAAAGAGTCAGTGATCTTCTTGATTTGCAGTAGATATTCAGAAGCTGGACCTTTTTTCTTGGTGTTCTTTAATAAGTTCTTGAGTTGCTTGATTTTCGCTTGAGTATGAGAAGCAAAATATACCTGAAGTTTGATCCAGATCTCATATGCATGAGTGCAGCCAACCATTCTATTTTTGAAGGACATGTTCATCGAAGAAAGAAGCCATGAGACAAGAAGATTGTCTTGTTGATGCCATTGAGTGTATGCAGCATTGATGATCTGCAGATCTTGATCTTCTGGTGTCTGATATTGAGGTGGAATTTTTTCTTTATCAAGATGATCTTGAAGATCATGACCGTGGATGGTTGCAAGGGCAAGTTGTTGCCATGGAAGAAAACTGTCTTCATCTAGTTTATCAGCAATTGGTTGGGAAAAAGACTTCATGATGATTTTTGTTGTTGACGTGTTGGCATTGCTCATGGAGGTTGCATCTGATTGTGGAGAGTCCATGGATCTTGTGTGCTCTGATACCATGAAAGATATCAGACCCAGGAAGCAAGATAACTCTCAAATGAGAGTTCTAAATGAAAGAATTGAAAAGAAAGCATGTATCTGAATAATACTTTGTATATTGCTTGATTGTTAATATCTCTGTGTACATTCTGATATATGTACAGAAGAGGCTAAACTAACATGTGTAACTAATTTAACTAACTCTTAATGGATTGGGCCTTGATGGCCCATTATCCTAATATATGCTTATCAGCAACACGTCCTAATTTTTTTTTGTTAGGGAGAGGCGCTGGCCACAATAACACCTCTTCCTAGAACTAGAAGTGCCACATGTTATTTTTTATCCCAAATATGGTAAATAAATTTTTCACCTGACCCGTTTTGATAAGTCTCATTGTTTTTTTACGCGGATGGGTCAATCAGCCCTGTGTCAACCTTTACCAAGAGTTACTTTTCATGTCCTCGAGAGTCCTTTGAATTTCTACCACAATTGTCACAGCTTTGATTCTAGTATCAGTTAAAAGTTTCTCTCTCTACTTTGGTAGAGTGAAAATTTTGTGAATTCTACTGAGTACTTCAGTCCCTTGAACTTTAAGAGCTATCATCACAGGTGTAGTTTCCTTGTAAATCTTATACCTATTATTATACTTATCTTTTTTTCTGGACCTCTTCTGTTTTGGTTTTTTTTTTTTGCTGGTTTTATCTATAGAGAGATTTGATACATTTGCTGTTTTTGACAGGGACTGATGCGTATCTCCATTTGTCTCGTTTGGGAGATTCACAAGAACCTTTGCCCTGAAAGTAGAGGCTGCTTCCATTTCAGTCATTCTCCAAGTCACTCTAAATATTTTGTATAGAAAAAACACTGTAACTATAGCAGCTGAGATCCAGAATTGTTTGTAACTCTATAATGAAATTCTAATTTCCTAAATAATTTCATAAAATTATATATCGACAAATAAATTATAAATTACTGCAATTTCATGGCTTACATTTTAAATTATGTTTCTCTTAAATTTTGTAACCCTCTGTCCAAATCCGTTGATAAAAAACGGGGGAATTAAAATTTCTGCAGAATTTACAATCTTCAACGGTAGTAATTTCATCAATATGGACACTGATGATCAAATACTAGCATATCCCTGTAGTCTTATACAAGAACAATATCCATTGAAGGAAACAGTTCATATCCCTTAATAATATGATTTATAACATAATCATAAACGTTTGAGATGTTTGATTGGGTTGCTGTTACAAACCTTCCAAGCATCTGATTCTTTGTGAATTGTGATGCGAAGAGATTTTTCCTCCTTGATTGTCTTTCAGGAAACCATGAGCAACCCCACTGATAGTGTGCAAATTAATTTTATTTTCACTAGTCGGAGTCGGAGTTAATAAATTTTATTTCTTTCAAATACAGAATAATGAAATTATGTATATACTATTAAGATAATATTAAAAATTAAAATCAGTTTTGATTAAAATTATAAAAAAAAAAACTATTTACAGAACACCTTTTTGTTTTTAATTACTACGACCATACATTTACACCAAGATTTTATCTATCATACGCTATCGCTAAAATCAATTGCAAAGAATAAACAAAATTTACAAAAAGATCAGTAATCAAATATTTAGAGATAAATTCCAACCCCATTAAAGATTAAAAAACATGTTCGCCATTCTAAATCACCCAGTTGGCATTAAAGATTAAAAAACATGTTCGCCATTCTAAATCACCCAGTTGGCACAAACACCAGAGTTTAACTATAGGCGTAATATTTCGAACTTGATTGGTGGGGTGCGCCAGGCCCGTGCAGCAGTGCAACGCATGGGCGACACTCGAGTGACCCAGCAGCAAGCTACTGTGATGGCCACTCCCCCTCAAGAAATTAATTTAATATCATGTGAACCAATGGTCCACGTATCAGATATTAAACTGATAAGAACAGATACTACACTTGATCTTAGCCAAAAGGCCGAGAAAGGTATGCGTTTAACATTGTAGGAGCTTCTTTTTATAGCGAGTTCTTCCGTAATTGTATTCTCCTCTCAGCGATGTGGGACTTTATCACGAGTACTTCAGCACTCTGCACCTAATAGCCTCTCTATCTATGCCCATCCAAGTGAACAAATCTTGTTCAAACCTATTAATGAAGCGAGGATAGCTACTCGGTTCAAGCTTGTTGCTGCATAGCAATAGTAATTTCAACGAATTAGTGAATGAATATGGACAACATGTTGTGTGTGTTGAGACTGGACGTTCTTGCTCTGCGTGCAAGCGTGAAAGAACAATTCCTCTTCTCCAGAACAGGGTATTTAAAAATGTAGTAGTCAAATTTAATTCCTTGAATCTTAAAAAAATTTCGTATAAAAATCCATGGCCCCTCCTGAATCAAAATTTACCCACCAATTTTAGTCCCCCCATCAACAGTTACCTTCCTGTAGAATACTCCGCGACCTAATGATTCAAATGGTTGAACAGCTTCGTAATGAAGAATGAGGGACATAAGAGTTTTAGAGTTATTCACTCACACACACAAATTCACAACCCTTTACAGCTTTAAGCTAAATCCCATGTACCTGATTAATTGATTCCCTAAATATTCAATTAATGGTGAGATTACTAGCTGGGAGCAAACTCTTCATCCTCCTTTACATATGTATACTTCCATATAGGCATATTTTGGCCCATATCAGGCCGAATATTTACATGACTTAGAAAACATAGCTCCCTTTGTCTCCTTGGGCTAAAGTAGGTATGCTCTATATGGAATAGTAAGCTCAACTGCATGGTCCAAACTATGCAACTAGCGGGATATAAGATCCAACCAAGAACCTGGGTGCTTCCAAGTTCCAACAACCTTCTTCCAGTGTCTTCAAAGAGGGAAACGATTCAACACAAATTCACCGAATTATGGAGCACAGATGTGATCGAGCATGACAATTGTAATCTGTATAAGTACATAAATGCTAAGCTTACACATTCTTCAACAGTTGCACTTTGATTAATATGGGGACACTGATGATTTGATACAGAGATATATGTGAAGCATGCTGCTTTGCTTTTGGGTACACGTGAGATACAAAATTTATACATTAAAAAAAAAAAAAAAAAAAAAAAGAGCCTGTAACTAATTGCAAATTAGTTACCAATAGTCTTTACAAGAACATTCTCCTTTGCTAAAATGGTGGAAACGGTTCCTGTCCCTTATTATTATATTACAATCATAAACCTTCGAGATCAGTTTACATGCTTGGTGACAATCTTTACAAACCCTCAGATTCTTGGTGATACGAAGGGTTTCTCCTCGTTTAGTCTTTAACAAACCATAAGCAATTGCAAGTTTCTCACTATGGTAAAAAAGGGGATTCTCCCTTTCTTCCTCAACAAGATCATGTAACACACCATCAGTGACAGGAACATAACCAACCAACCTGATTGATTCCAACATCTCATCAACTTTGGCATGTATTTCTTTAGCTAGAGGATGAGCCCTTCCCCCTGCAACAAACTCATTAACAATGCCCTCCATTTCAATCATGGAAAAGCCCGGTGCCTTCTTCACTCCCCTATCATTCATTAATTTCCTCACACTAGCAACTTCTTCCCATTTACCACAATTTGCATATATATTAGCTAGTATTACATAACGCCCACTATTTCCAGGCTCAAGTTCAATCACTCTCTTACCCACCTGCTCTCCTAACTCGAAGTTTCCATGGATTTTACAAGCTCCAAGAAGGGCACCTAAAACACCGGCATCAGGAGTCACGGGCATCTCATCTATGACCTTTCTTGCTTCATCTAGCCTTCCATCCCTAGCAAGCAAATCAACCATGCAACCATAATGCTCCCTGGTGGGCTCAATGCCATGAACATCAGTCATGTAACGGAAGTAATGACGCCCTTCCTCAACCAATCCCGAATGAGCACATGCTGTGAGGACATTCACAAAAGTGATGCTGTCAGGGGCAATCATTTCTTTCTCCATCTCCCTAAAAAGCCTAATGGCATCCTCTCCTCTCCCATGCATTGCAAGCCCTCCAATCATGCAATTCCATGAAGAAACTCCTTTCTCCGGCAACCCATTAAACACTTGAAACGCCTTCTCCAAACAACCACACTTACAATACATGGCAACAATGGTTGTAGCAAGTTTTGAGTCCAACTCAATCCCACTCCTCTCAACGTATCTATGTATCCACTTCCCTTGTTCTAAAGCACCGAGTCCTGTACAAGCAGAAAGCATGCTAGCAGCCACAAACTTATCCAACTCCACCTTCTCCCGCCGCATCCTATGAAACAAAGCAAACGCCTCCTGAAAACGATTGCTTTGGACAAAAGAAGCAATCATGGCATTCCAAGAAGCAGAGTTCTTGTGGGGCATGAGCTCAAAAACACGGAAAGCCTCGTCCACAAATCCCCACCGAGAGTACCCAGAAATGATGCTGGTCCAAGACACAACATTTCGAACAGGCATTTTATCAAACACCTTCCGGGCTTCATCCAAGGAACGAAAACTAACGTAAACGTGAATCAGATTATTAAGAGCAAAGACGTCAGCTCCAAACCCGAATTTGAGAACATGGGCATGAAGCTGTTTTGCTTGGTGAGCCGAACAAGCCCTTATAACGGAGGGAAAAGTAAAACTGTTGGGCGTGAGAGATTGTTCCAACATGTGGGTGTACAAGAGAATGGAATTGAAGGGGATTTGGGAGTGCAGATAGGCTTTGATTAGAGTATTGTAGAGAAAGGTGTCTGGGTTGGGAATGGTGGAGAAAACCCTGAGAGCGTAGTTTAAGTCGCCGTTTTTGGAGAGAGAGCAGAAGGTGATGATGCGAGACATGGCATGGTTGTCGGTGGAGAGACCCATGCGAAGGAGTAGGGAATGGTGTTGCTTCAGTTCCGCCATGGTTGAACATGACTCCACCGCCCCCAGAATTGGGGTTACACTCACCCATGGGCATGGCTGAACCAAACAACTACTCATTCTCTATATCTTCTTTTCTCATTTAGTTCCTAACGAACGAACAATCAAGGGGTGTATTGGATTGAGAGTTGAAAATGGTTTATATACTCATCCAGGACCCTTCCTTGCTGGAGAGTAATTAGGCTTCAGGTTGGATAATATAAGATGTAACTATATTAAAAAAGGGTTTTATTATTCTCCTTCAACATAAGATAGGTATCTTATGTTGTAGAGATAAAATGGGTGGGTCCCACCATTACAAGAAAAAAAAAAAAAAAAAAAAAGGTGAGATGCGGAAATCAAAGTGAGAGAGTAGGAGAGAAGTAATCTTATGCAAAAGGAGAGTAATATTTCCCATTAAAAAATTGGGTTTAACTTTTCTTACGTTGAAGGATTGTTGGAGAGAAAAAAAGTAGAGAGAAGTTAAATGTGAGTCTCATATTTTATATTAAAAAAGAAAAGAAAAATTATTTGGCACGGAAAACGAATTTGTGTAGGAAAATGAGAGTCTCTCATGTGGCATGAGAGTATTATTTTCCTAAAAAATTTCATAATAAAAAGTGGGGCAGCGAAGATTAATTTGTGACAATCTAAGGAATAAAGAATTAATTCAATACAAAAGCTAACTTATTAAATGATATTATATTAATGATTTTATATATTTCTAATAACGTATTTCATAAAAGAGTTCATTGGACTTGAAAAGTAGATGATGCATTAGGCTCAATCTATCTGTAGTAAGAAATTTCATCAAGAAAATGGGGGCGGGAGGATTGAATCTGGGACATCGAGACTCTAATATCATGTAACGAATCAAATTAACTCAAAAGCTTAAACTATTAGTTGAGAGTGCATCAATGATTTATGTACTTCTCTAACATGCCCTCTCACACAATAGCCCATTGGCATAAAGGGTGGATAATGCGACCACTACCTATACAAAGAAATTTCACAAGAGAAAGTGAAGGACGGTGAAGATCGAATAAATGATACCCTGGTATCATGTAAAGAACCAATTCAACTTAAAAATGTAAGTTATTAAGTGAGGGACATTAATAATTTATATACTTTAGTAACAGATACAATAGATGGAATAATTCGTAATTATGATAGAGACTAAAATATCTAAATATAATTCAATAGTAAAGGTATAATTAAAAAATATATATGGATTAAGAAGAGTAAAAATATATCTCTAAAAAAACTCTTTCCGGAAACTTTAATTTTTAATTTATTTTATCTCAAGTAAAACTCTTTTTATATTTCTAACAAAAAAAAAACACGGTTCCTACTTTCTTCTCTTACAAAAAAAAAGTCATTTTTTGGTCCTCTACAGTTCTAATTCTTTGAAAATGTGGTCCCTCATAAATTCAATGAACACTCAATTTAATCCCTGAAAAAGAAATAATAGAGGTATTTTTTTTTGTAAAGGACAAAAGTGAGGACCGTATTTTTCTGTTAGAAACTTAAAAGCGACTTTACTCTTTTATTTATTATAAAAATAATTTTTGATTTGCTTGTGTTCCTTGGTGGGCTCAATGCATGAAAATAAGTCATGTAATGGAATTCAAAAATGGGATGTTTGGTAAGTAGATTTTTTTTTAGATAACCAAAAACGTGATAACGAGTTTCTAAGAAAATTATGTTTGATATCATATTTTAAAAAAAATATTTGGAAAAATGATTTTTCTGATAATTCATTTTATGTGTGATCTGGATAATTATTATAAAAATACAAGGCTCAAATTAAAAATCTTTACAATGGAGCAAAGTCTTAGTCCAAGAAGGTTGCAAGCTGCATAATATTGAAGACTCCATGACAGTAAGCTCCACCATAATAAATACATGTTGTTATCTCATCTATAAACAGCAAGCTCATGACAGCCATCAAGCTGCACAATATTAATGGCCTTATTTCATCAAGCTCCTCAACATTAAACATGGCAGCTCTATTACTTTGGCACCAAGACAAGCCTCCCACAAGAACCAATAAGGAGGAACCTTTGCCTTCACCGTGAAGAAAGGCATCTTCCAAGCTGCACATCTCTCCACTATAAATACATACCTATTAACACTAAGGTATATATCTTCTTCTACATAATTAAACCTACTTGAACCATATCTGACTTGAGCGTCGGAGTGTCTTGCAGGTACACCCCCATCGCGTTGTATTGAAGACCCATGGGATATAGCGGCCCAACTGCAAGATGCTCTGATCCAAGACGGATCCAGGTTGAGTAGAAGAAGATCACATAATCAGTCCAGATGTAAAGATCTGTTCCGATCATTGGGCCGTGTGGGAAGAGATAAACTTCAACTCCTACACCAAAAAAGGTACATGCTATCTGCCTTGAGCTCTTTATTTTCCAATAGTTATTGAATTTTCATTCATCTCGCAAAGATATTAGTCATCCCGTAATGATAATACCCATCCAAAGTATCAAGGCGCGATGCCAGAACATGACTTTTGAATCCCAAGTATCATCGCGCGATGCTAGTACGTGGCTTATGAATCCAAAGTACCCTTGCGCGGTGTTTATCCCATTGTTTGGATAAGTTATAAAAGTCTCCACAATTAAAGTTGTTTGGATAAAGGTCGTAATTAGCCAAGGAATCAAGATGTTGTGAAAAGCTTTCTAAAAATCTATACAAATAAAGTTTCGCACGTATCTCAACGCGGCTTTTTGACCCTTATGCTCCTTAATTAATAACTAATTACCAAATTGCCCTTCATTCAAAACTATTTCGAAAATTTACCCTCCCCAACAAACATAACACCAATCTGCCCCTGTTTGACCGTTGACCACGAAGCCTACCCGGGTACACCATTACCTACCCGGGTAAATTTTGAAACTTTTTATCTACCCGGGTAGAGTTCTTGAATCTGGGAAAATAGTTGAATTATTTACCCGGGTAAGGAACAGTGTACCCGGGTAAACATCGACGGTAGGGTTTTAAAATACCCCAGCAGCCCCATTTCGAAAACCCACAAAAGGGGTACCCGAGTAGAGCTGCTGGAGGAGTGTCTTCTTGAGCGATTTCAGGCATAATCTTGCACCAATTCGTCTTGTTTGTGATCATCATTCGCGGACCTTGCTGCTTCAATGCCTTCTACCGATTGAAATCGATCAAAGGTGCATTTTTTTTCAGTTTTTTCAATTATGTTATGATTTATATTCTGATTCATTGTATTTTCGTTTATATCATTTGATTCTGTCCGAATTATTTTATCAATTTGTATGTCATACGCTTACCCTAACCCTAACCCTAACCCTGAATCTAACCCTAACCCTAACCCTAACCCTAACATGTATCTAATTTATGATTTTGGTTATTTTTTCAGTTTAATAGTGTGACACAATGACCTCTCGACGCGTTTCAAAGCTGCCAGTGACCCATTCCGAGAGAAGAACCAAGAGTCGTCACGATGGGTCGTCATCCTCTCAGCCCCAGGCTGCTTTGAGTCAGGCTCCGGACTTGACGTTCGGATATTTGTTTGAGGATGACATACCTTCACACGAGAAGTTCGTGAAGTTTTTCATGACCCGGAAGATCTGCGAACCGAAATCACTGGATTCGGCATTCTTCAACCTAGAGCATTTTGACATTGTGCCGCTTCTTGAGCAGACACATTTACTTCACCTGGCGGAGATGCGGTGCCCATACTCGGAGGTTATGGTAAGAGCCTTCTACCAGAACCTTGGCTACTCGCAAGGCGAGCTGACTTCCCGTGTCTGCGGGATTGATATCATCATGACTGCTCCTATCTGGACGGAGCTACTGGGGTTCGATTTTGATGGTGTCACAGGAGCAGCACTATATGATGGAGACAGCCATCATATATTTGGTGATTATAACCGGGAGACCATTGTTACAGAGACTAGGAGGGCAGACGCTGAGCCCGGTCATTTTGCTCATTATCCTGTTAGCAACTTGTCAGTTTCTGCTCGCATTCTTCATTATGTGGTGACACATATTATTTTCCAGCGCCCGCATAATCACTCAAAGGTGCTGGAAGGGGACTTTGTCATCCTGTGGGCCCTCCTTCACAGTCAGCAGGTGAACTGGAGGCATTACATATACATACTGATGTGGAAGGCAGCCAAGTCAAAGAAGGCTGAATTGCCTTTTGCATTTCTGGTGCAGAAGATTCTGCATAGATTTGGAGTGCCTATGGCAACAGAGACCTTGAAGACCGCCAGAGGCTGGAATGTTATATTTGGTGAGAGGCTCCTGAAGCAGTGTGGGATCCTACCGAACAGAGCGGGTATCTGGACGTGGAAGAAGGCACCAGAACCACCTGAGATCCCATTCCACCACGATGCTGAGATGGAGGATGCACCTGCAGGTGATGTGTTGGTCTTTATGAGTTTATGCAATTTTGTGTTGTTTAATTTTTAATGTGGTATTTATAAGATGTGTTTTTCATGGTTTATGATGTAGGCCTTGATGATGATGACGATGATGATGGCGTTGCTGAGGTTGATGTCAGACCGACACGTCCCACCCGCAGTCGGCGACCACCAGCTCCTCCTGAGGGTGGATGGACACTTGATCATGTCATGACATCCATATATGATCTGACTACTGACTTTAGAGGATATAGACAGAGCACGAGCAAGTGGCGAAACCAGATGGACACAAGGGTTGCACGGTTGGACACAAGGGTTTCACGCTTGGAGGGTTTAATTGGCGAGGGTGCCCATACTCATGAGGAGGAGGAGGAGGACGATGACAATGGGGATGACACACAATCGGATGAAGAGAATGGGGAAGACACGCCATCGGATTAGTGTGTCCATAGGGTTTCATATCATTGATTTAGTTTGATGTAATGTAGTCATTTTGGTACATTTAGGAACTTTACCTACATTGCATGGATGTTTTTGTACTGGATGTTCAAAATTTGAATGAATGAAATTTTCGTTTTGCGCACGTTCAGACTTGTTGGTTCTATGCATTAGTATGGGACCTTGCATTAATATTGTCATAATTAATTTGGAAATCAATTCAACCCAAAGTACTTTAATATTCATGTTCAACTTTCATTGGCGCACATCTTGATTACTGCATCCTA